GGAGCCAACAGCGTAAATTTTCTGCCTTGCTTCATCTGTCAGTCTATAGCAGTCCCTTCCGGCTTTCTGATCCTCTCTTTAGAAGAGTGCAATGTGGCTGTGGAGTTCTGGATGAGGGTAATTACATGCTGTTGAGGGATGGTTAGATGGTTTATGTCATCTTCCTCCAATCCTGAAGGCCAACATGGTGTGGTGGTTTTGTTTGGTTTGGGGTGAGTTGGTTGTTCTGGTTTGGTTTTTTTCCCCTGGCTGCATGTGTTACTGCCATTTGGTTACCTGATGGTTGTAACTGTAGGGAAGCTGTTGTGCTGATGCTGGAATAAAATGTGAGGAGGCTGTTTCTGTCAGCCAGCAAATACAGCTATGTAGTCCCTCACTGCCATCTTTGGCTTTGTGGGAAGGTACCAGCACCCTTGTCGTGGCCATCTAATGCACACTGGCACATGCCTTGTCGTTCTAAGGTGCGGAGCAGGTTCATAACACCACCCTGGGTACCATGGGGCAAGTGTCACATAGCTGCACTCACAGGCATACCAGAATGGCAGCTGTGTATAGTTTGATTCCTGTGGCAGGGATCTACACAGATAAAATGTATTGGTCTGTGGCAGCCAGGCCCAGCTCCATCAGCTTTTCATGTAGCATCCTTGTGTGCTGCTGGTGGGTTTGACTGTTAGCCTTGCAGAACATCAATAATTATTCCTGCACTTGGCTTTTGCTTATTTTGGGCTCTCAGCTAGGGCAGAGGTTATTCTGAACTACATGATTCATGTCTGGTAGGTGGACACTTCCACGTGCAGCTGCCGGTGCTGCTTGATCTTCTCTGGATGGGAGAAAACTGAATTTGCTTTGAGATTCACGACTGTTTTTCCAGGACTCGTGCACATTACAGATGGCAAGGGTGCAGGCATCTCTTGCATTCACTCTTGCTCCTCCTCTGGATCACTTTATCCTAGAGAGGACTGCCTGCCTTGTGATTTCCTTTTACTGACACACCAGTGATTTCCTTTTACTGTTTTAATGCCATGATTAGGGCTACTCTAAAGCCATTACTCCTATTCGCAGTGTGTGTTTTCTGGTCTTTAGCTCCTGCCGACTGGGAGTGGGAGAGGTAAACAAGCCTCAGCTTTGGCTGCTGAATCAGTTTTGAATGTGTGTGCCAGGTGCTGATATTAGTAATCACTGCTATTGCAGAAGATAATAGATTAAGAAAGAGAATTTACTTATTGTATTCTTAAATAAGCACACCAAACACATCTACTTCATCGCCATAGCTGTGTTTGTGTTGGCTAAGGGCAATACCCAACATCTGGCACTAGCACTGGTGCAACGGAATGGAAAACATGGGTATCTCGCTGCTCCTAGGAAATGTCAGAATTGTTTGCTGTGCTGTCAACATGTTAAGGTTATCATTAATGGTCTTTTTATTCTTCTCTCTCTCTCTCTTTTTTTTTTTTTTTTTTCTTTTCCCCCCCCCCCCCCCATCCCCCCCCCCATACGATTAACAGAGTGCTCAGTAAGTGGAGTTCATAGTAACCCAGGGGTGCTTTCCAGAGAAAAAAGATTACTTAGATACCTCAGTTACGCTGCTGGTCAGGAGACGGGATATCTCATCTATGGCAGAGTCAAGCTGGCTTTCGTTTGCTGGTTGTTATCTCTGTATTTCTAGCTGAGACATTCCAGCGGTAACTGTCTCGCAGGGTGCTTGGCCGATGGGTGGCTATGCTAGCTGTGAGGAAGCAGCCTTCAGGGCTCAGCCTGATGGACTCAGCCTCTAGTGAATGCAAATCAAACTGCTGTGCTATTCAGCTGCATAGCTAAGACAGAGGCAAAATAAAGCCCTGCTTCAGGCACAATTCTCTCTTTAACGATACTCATCTCTCCACTGCTCACTGCTGGAATTTTGACTGTGCTGTGATTTTTATTTTTCCTTTTTAAATACAGAAAATGCATTAGAAATGAAACTTTCATGCGGTCAGAAACAGAATGCATCCCAGGAGCGATACCTCCAGTATAGTTTTACTTCTAGTCATCTTGAGTTACACAGAGAGAATGCCACAGTCAGTGACTCCGCAACGTTACAACATGCACTTAATCCTAATAAGGAGGGAGAGGCTGTGGCTAACAGGTTGTTTTTCATCTCATTTCATTTCTAAACAAGCTGATTGATAGCCAGTTCTGAATCATGAATTTGGAAGAGAACTCGGTGCTTTTGTCAGGCCCAGCATTGTTTACAGGAACACTTTTGTTTCCCCCTGGAGAGATAGTGACCCACAGATACTAAAGTTACCCAGAATCCAAACCAAAACCATGCTATCTCATTTTATTTCAAATTCGTAACTCAGATCAGGATTGTCAAAAAGGTTCATTTAGTCTATGTACAACTCGGATAGGCTTTGGAAGAATATTGACTGATTTCTCAGTGTATCCTCGGTGTGGGTGGATTTTGTATTGTTTCATACAGAACTAGCCTGAAGGTCTGTGTTTGGCATTGTGGCTCGGTCATTTGAATCCAGAATTCCCAGGCAACTTGTGAGGGAGTGTTTTCCTGAATTACTTTTATTTATTCTCCCCAAAGCCTGTGTCCTGCCAGGACACTACACTTGTACTTACATTTTGTTCCAAAGACAGAGTATTCTGGCATCCTTCCAGTTTCTAAAATAGAAGTTTTCTAGAGAACCTGCTGCACAGGATGATGAAATACAATCTGATTTTACCTTCCTACCTTTCAGACGCTGTCGCACAGACTTCTCACTCCTGATATACCTCTTAGTCGTGGCTAGATCGAGCCGCGCTGGGTAGCACTTTACTCAACAAAAAGTCCCGCTAATTGAGGACAGAAAGTGTGTTTGTCATGGTGTGGATCTGAAAGAGCCATGGAAAAGAGCAGTTAGAAATGGAGGAGAGCAATTAAGCAGCCAGTCAACCAGTGTCCCCTTCTGCCTGTACATGAAGTGTCCTTAGGGGGTGCCTGGGGAAGGTCATTTTGGTGGGTGAAGCAGGGGAGTGCTTCACAAAAGGTCCTTAAGTTGTTGCTGGTTAAATTCCTCCTCTGGAGATGGCTTTGCTTTTATGACCTGCCCTTTCTGTGCCTGTCATGTTTACGTGGAAGGTGTGTTTAGAAGCTGAAATTTCCATACTTTTTAACCCTCTTGTGCCCTTTGCTTTCGTGTGTCTCCTGAGCCTAGACTCCAGCATGGAGCAGGTTAAGAAGGAATAAGAGGCAGGTATGGGTGGAGAGGGAACCATGAGCAGGGTCTCTGGGTGAGTGAATGTAGGCGAGGCAGGTGAGGTAGCTGGGCAGCGGCTCTGTGGGGAGGAATAGGGAGGTAGTGGGGTCAGCTGTTCAGGCAGGGGTGCGGTGCTCAGGAGAGGGTCAGTGTGTGATGGCAGCCCTGTAGGTAGAAGACAAGGGGGTGGGTGTGTGGGTAGGTACTGGCAGAGGGGGAAGAAGGGCAAGAGTGGGGGACATGTTAGAAGGGGAAGATGGGGGTCAAAGAGGTGGGCAGGCAAGGATGCAAGGGGGGCTGAAGAGCCCGGGCTGAGGGAGCGAGCGAGCCCAGGCGGGTGCGTGGCAGGGGAAGTGGGTCGGGGTAAGGTGAGGAGGGGAGGGCGTGTGGAGGGCAGGGGGTGGTTAGGAGGGGAAGTGGGCAGGAGGCCGGGCAG